CGTGCATGTTATTATGACTTTGTTTTAATACATTTTTGTTGTTATCATAATATTTTGGAAACATTTCATCTCTCAAGTAATATTTCAACTTTATTCCGGTAATTACAAATGTATTTCCTTTACTTCAGTCTTTGAGTATGACTTAATTTCTTTTCAGGGTGACCCAAACACGCCTTCATCCAAAATATCAAATTCAAATGATTATTTAATTTAGACCTTATTGGGGTCATGAGGAAATATTCCAATAGGAATGACAGCAACTGATCTCCAGGGACGGGACACTGCCATTGGCTGAGTCGTGTTAATTGATATACACGGCCAGTCTATTACAGCCACAAAGACAATCTCAATCCAAACAGCACACAAGGGCCTAGAGCTGGACTCCTTACACAACTAAATTAGGAAAACATGGGCTGAGAGAGAGCCAGGCAACAGGGGGGCTAAGAGGCTTACAAGCCCCTTGTCAGATATTCTTCTCCCTGAGGATCCCAGATGGAAGGGAGTCTGGAGGAGCAGGCAGTATCAGAGAGGCAACCAATCGCACCTCTGATGTCTTCCTCTGGGCAGCAGAAGGCAGGAGAGGGCGGCGCATTAGTCCTGTTGCGCCGAGCTTAATTTGATCTTAATGTGAACAATAAAAGGGAGGTGGTTTGGCAATGAGGGGGGTCTGTTTCAACTATCAGCGCAATCTGAGTTAATCCTGCTGATTTAGACACGGACACCTGGCTGGATGGAGAGTGACAGATGCAAAAGTCACAGTCGCAGTGTTGTATGTCTAACCCCCATCTCTTCTAGGTATGCCCTGCATTCAAGGCTTAATTGAAACCACTGATCTCCATATTGCTCTTTTCACTGTCGCTAACAGCAGCGCGACCGTGAAACAGCTGAGCGAGGCGACTATTTGAGGAGCCGAGGGTTTAAACCCCACAATCAATGGGTCAAGCCAGAGCAAATAATCGCCAAGTGATATGAATACAACTGCTATGAACTGAAAGGAAGTGTGGTTTGACAGAGTCCCCAGCCAATTACCCTGAATGGAAAAAGTAGCCACTAAGCCTTATTGTATTGACCGCAAGCCTATATGTGGTTGTGGCCCAGTGCTGAGAGCGGATAGATCTTATCTAGTGTTGGATCATGGTGACAAAGGCGTCTGTGTTTTGCTTCGACCTGCTCCTGACAAAGACTACTACATTTCAACACGAGCGAATGACAGATAACGACAACACAACACAAATCTTGGCTTTCCCCAAAGACGATTTCCTTTTTATCACCTCAAAATGTAACAAAATTAATCTGTTTTCCACAGATAATTAAACATCTACAGAGTCAAAGCTATTCGGATGATATGAAGAAGTCAACTCTTAAAACGAAATCAGAAGGTATCATCCTGTACATAGTCCTGCTCTTTTGTGCTTGGAATATTAGTTTCCTTCCATGGTTACCAACACAAATATGGTGCATGTTGATGATAATCTCGCATTCCTCCGACACAAAAACCTCTGGCAAATGGCAAAGATAGAGTGAAGAAACCAAAACAGTAGAACCAGGAAAGGTCTGACATGTTATGACTACTACCATTATATAGTAAAATCAGATACAGCCCCTGGATAATGCTGACAAAAAAACAAAACAAACACACACATGTACCAATGGCACATGGAAAAATGTTAGTTTTGCACAATTAAACTGCAGTCCTTTCACCACCACACCCACAGAGGTTGGAATGGGATTCAAGAGAATGGGAAAAATTTGGTTACAGACGTCACAGAAAATGTGGAGGGGAAAATGTTCAGATGTATCTCTGTAGGCCCATTTAAAAAATGCGATAATGAGCACAATATGTCAGAGGCAATAAGTTGTAGGTTGGGTTTCCTATAGAATGATTCTATTAAGAAAAACATTACATGATGCTAGTTTTATCATAGTTTGTGAGCTGTCATTCAAAAAAACAAGAGTCACCTACTGATCTGACGTACATTGTGATCTCTGCTATGTTGTCTTGCATCACAGGCCACTTCAAATCAATAGGATCACCGCTTCAACATTGAGTAATTATCCTAGGCAGTTTGATAAATACTGCTGCGAGTGATGTAAATGCAGCTACAGTAGATCAAGACATTAAGACAGACAGCCATGCCAAAAGCTTTCTTTGCAAGGAAAAAATAGGGTTTTTTTTTTCATTATACCTTTACTTTTCCAGTCATCTCTTATTATGATTACAAAAATATATTTTCTATGATTGTTCTAGTCCATACCAGCATCTGCATATTTAAGAAAGTTAGTCAGACAATCAACAGCCATAAATGCTGGGCAACATGAACTTAAAGCATTTGAGTTTAGCACATTTATGTCAACAAAAAGATCACTAAAACCCCATAAATCTACAAACAGATATGTCTGTCTCCAATGTTGAGCAACAATATCAAGCATCTCTTGAGACCAAATCATTGAATTTCAAGGCTTTTTGTAAATTGTTCCAGGAAAAGAGAGCTGGAAACTTAAATGCCTTTTATCCAAGTTTAGTTCTGGCTCTCAGGACGAGTTTGTCTATGTGTGCCCTGCGATTGGCCCTGCGATTGGCTGGCAACCAGTTCGGGGTGTACCTCGCCTACTGCCCGAAGATGGCTGGGGTAGGCTCCGGCATGCCCGCGAGCCTCGTGAGGATAAGCGGCTGGGGTAATGGATGGATGTTAATATTAGTCGACACTGTACTGAGAGCTTCGGCCCTGACCACCCACCGACTCACTGTTCCCTGATCTGTATTGTACATTATAACATTTGGTCTTTCACCAACTGATAGATGTTTGGGGACTACAGCTTTAAATTCATATTCCCGCATGCTGAACCGCAAGCGGGACTTCCTCCTGCTGGGAAGCAGGTCAGTCAGAGCATCTTATTCATCTCAAATGGGGCTAGTGTCGTCAGTCATGATATATTCCCTTGGTCCTCTGTCAGGACACATAAATCTCAGTGTCGCTGTCAAAACAGCGGGGCTGCCTTTGCTGAGAGCGTTTGTAAAGTGAGCAGTTGGGCAATCGTTTCCTCTGGAGCCTTACAGTATCCCGTGATCTTGCGCTGCCTCTGGCCTCGATTTGACACACAAAGTTATTCTCCAGCTGTCTTAAGGATTACACTCATCAGTTATCACTTAATCAGTGTTAAAAGTGGTCATTAAACCAAGGAAACCCACCTTCTCACCCACACCAATGATTGGTATTGGCTTGACATTCATGAGTCGAAATTCTTAAAGGGGAAGTAAAGTTTAAAATGTTCTTTGCAATAAAATGTTCTTTGCAATAACATGTTCTATCCAGTCCCACTAGTCTAAACACACCATTCTGATTAATATTGTGTTTATGGAATATGAATTAAGCAGCAAAATCCACCTGTTTTTATCCATCTCAGGGGTTGACCATTTTGCTACTTGCTGTCAAATGAAAATGACATCACAGTTGAGTGGTCTCCTCCTAGGCCCTGAGTAACTGAGATGGCTAACAGGTGGATTTTGCTGCTTAATTCATATTCCATCCATCATTTTCTAATCATCGCGGGCGTGCTGGAGCCTATCCCAGGTGTTTTCAGGCAGGAGGCGGGGTACACCCTGAACTGTTTGCCAGCCAATCGCAGGGCACACATAGACAAACAACCATCCACGCTCACAATCACACTTACGGTAAATTTGGAGTGCCCAATCAACCTGCCATGTATGTTTTTGGAATGTGGGAAGACACCCGAGTACCCGGAGAAAACCCACACAGTCACGGGGAAAACATGCAAACTCCACACAGGAAGGCCATAAACCTGCACCTCTGCACTGTGAGGCTGACTCACTAACCACTAGACAAACGTGGCGCCCTAATTCATTTTCCACAAATGCAACATTAAGCAGAATGCTGTGTTTGGACTCGTGGAGCCACATAGAACGTATTATGGCGAAGAACAGTTTTGATTTGACTTCCTTCAGAGATGTGCAAGCGCTTCTCTACCTCCAATGAACATTTTACATTCTGAGTTACTTTAATAGGACACATTATTAGGTACACCAGGGACATCTAATAGGATTGGACGCAAACGCCAAATCAATAGACAATCCTTTACAATCAAATTTGTAGTGATATTAAGTCAAGCATTGACCTGCTCCATGCCAAACAATCCAAATATGATAGCCACCACACTGTACGAACCCAATGATACTCATCTAATGAATAAGCCTGAATTCTGTCCGATGCATTCTTCATTAATGGTGAATCATAATCCGAAAAAACATATTTGATGTCGTAGTTTATAGTGTTGTACTAGGAAACTTTACACTCATATGTTTCTAATATTTTGAGTTCCAATATGACTAAATAACGTCTGACAAATATGTTGGGTTGAAATAGATAACGCCTTACTTACACTGTGAAAGCAGTTTAGGATTCCCCTTTTGATACGGCTTGTGTTTGGGATGTTATTAGATTTTGCAGATGTACTTAAAGTAGGTGTTTATATTTTATTTTAGGTTTTTAATTTCATTTCAGGCGCACAAAATGTTCCTATAACAATGCAAACCGCATGTATGGATGTTATACGTTACACTGTCCACAGACCTAGACACAAGATGGTTGTGTTATCATTACAGTCAATAGACATACGATACCTCATTTAAATACTCACTCTAAAATTTAGAGTGAGTATTTAAAGTATTTAGAGTCTAAATCCTCACTTAAGATGGAATCACAAATGCAATGTTATGTTCTGGATCTGTCGAGCGCAGCATTAGTTCTAACTAACACAAAGCCGACAAGGTCATTCTTGGGACTAAATTAGGGGGCAGTGGGGTGAGGGGGGGCTGACCAGTGAGTGTATTATAAAGAATGTCGCTTCGCTCACCTGATGAAACGGAGAGTTTGAGTAGTCGGACTCTGCATTTGTTATCATGGAGCTTCAGCTGTCACATCGCAACAAGAGCGATTTTCATTTGTCCCGATTACCAAAGTCTCCTGTGATTGGACAGCACGCTCCCAAACGCGGAAGTCGTCATCGCGTGTCAGAGCAGTATGGCAGCCTCCGTCAACGATACGTGTAAACAATCCGTGGAACGTACATCGTTAAATCCCACGAGTTTTCAAAAGAAAACGAGGAATAAGTTATTAAGCATACCTGGTACAAGGCTCTCGGTGCAAAACGGACAGCTTCTCGTTTCCACTGGTGTTACGTCGCTCGACTATGTGCTCGGTCAGTCTGCTGAGATGTCATTTGAGCTTGAACTGCATCAACACGGCAAACAGTGCTTGCATGTTTAGCTGTATACTTTTTATGGTAGTCATGCACTTGCCTAAAGTCGGGGTTGATAGGTAGATCCATCCGATCGAGTTTTTCAACATGACAAGGTCTTTGATAGCATTCCATACGTATGTTTGGTGACTTCCTTGGATGTAAATTCATACGTTAAACATAAACGTAACATTTACTTGTTTCCTAATTGGATGTTTTAACAAAAATCCAACCTAGGACTTTTTTTTCTGAATTGGAACACAACTGTTAGACTCTTGATGGCATGTGAAAATTCATGAGAGAAGCATACCAAGAAATAGATAATAAAGATCGCCCTCTCCCCACACAATCGTGAATCAAAGTGATCCTCGGTGTAGAAACTCCACTGGTTGAATGTGTAGCTGCATTTGTTGAATAATAAAAACGGTAAACCTAATTCTGCACCCAGTATCATCTAAATAATTTGGTTGCTTATGTTGTACATCGGGGTCCCCAACCTTTTTAAAACCGAGTGACTTTTTGGGTACTGATTAATGCGAAGGGCAAATAAATTTGATCAAATGACTTTTAACAAGAGTTTCATTTGTTATTGCTAATAATAATATCCTTTCAAATGAAAACCGTGATCATGGCTTTCTCAAAATCAGTAGGAAACAGATATCAGTATTCAAAACTTTATTTCTATAAGTTTCTGTCAGTATTCACGTTTTCAAATGACATACTGTAAAACATTCAGAGAAAATCACAATGTCCCCTCACTGGTAAGCTATTTTCAGAAGAGGTCCGCGGACTACTCGTGGACATTGAGGGCAACCTGGTGTCCACGCTGGTGACGCCTGTTGTAGATATTACTAAACCAAGAAGTTAATAAAAGGAAAAACAAATAAATGTATCCAGTTTTGTTATGCATGAGAGACTGGAAGGAAGATCATTTAAATGTATTAAAGTGCCTTTTATTATGTGTTGCACCTAACTTTTTTTTTCCCCCCCAACAGGTGGTGGTTTAGCAGTTGGAACAGTGCTTCTCATAGGTGAGACATTTGTCGTATGTCAATCTTATTAACATCATTTGTCAATCGTATTAACTTGTTAACTGATTATTAGTGTGATTTCAATGGATGCTGTTTGGCACGCGCTTCAAGTAACAACCTTGTAATCACAAATATTATGATTCGAACAATAAGATTCATAATATCTTGATATAAACACAAATGCAATGAATTGGTCTTTTTGAAGATGATGCCACAAGTTTGGAACATCTGTTTTTGGGCAGTTTTGCAGCACCTCTCAAGCTCCATCAGGGTGGATGGAGAGCGTTGGCGCACAGCCATTTTTAGATCTCGCCATAGATGTTCAGTTGCATTCTAGTCCGGGCTCTGGACATATCCACTTAAGGACATTTGCAGAGTTGTCTTGAAGCCACCTCTTTGTTTATTCGGCTGTGTGTTTCAAGTCATGGTCCTGTTGGAAGGTAAACCTTTGCTCCAGTGTGAAATCCGGAGCACGATTTCATCCAGGATGTCTTGGTGCAATGCTGCATTCTACTGTGTATAATTATGAGAAAAAAAATATTTTCCACTTTGGAAATGAGGCTGTAACATAACAAAATGTGGAAACAGTGAAGCGCCGTGAACACTTTCCAGGTGCACCGTGCCATAAGATTCAAGGATGGTGCATTTTAAAGTGGAACGTTTTGATTCAGTTCAATTTGATGCCCCCACATCTTGTCAAAACCGACTTTCTGATTCAAATCGGCTTTCGTTATAGCCAAATTATACACCTACCAGTAGGAGAGGGCAGTGAGTGATGTGACCTTGCTTGCCTCTTGACAAATATTTTGAAGTAGCCAGCAGAAATTGAGGTTATTTCTTTAGTGGTCCACCAGGGGCCTTTAGGCGCCTGAACAGAATTCACCGCCATCTTTCTCTGTGGAATGCTGTGCAGTATATGAATTATCGAATGCTTTTTCACTTGACTTCCGGGTGTGCTCACCGTTAATTAATATGCCACCCGGGCAAATATACTTTTTAGAAACAAAGCATGTTTGTTTTTGAGGCAAAAATGTCTTTCTGTGGACCATCATCATTATTATTATTATTATTATTATTAATATTCAATAAATACATGGTTGTGCAGACTCATAGAAACTGTTAGGGTACCTTGTTCTTGTTTTCACTCGAAGCTGCAAATGTGTGAATGCAAGACCTATACCAAACTGATGATATTGCTTTGCCCTTTAATTCCTCCCCCCCAATCGATGCAGGAGTCGATGATTACACACTAATGCGTTCTTCCCTTCCATTTTGTGACTCAATGCACGGTTGGTTTCATCTGGTAATGAGAGACACAGTAAAGGTGAAATGTGTGTGTGTGTGTTGTGTTTGCCTCTAAAAGAGCTGTGTGTGTGCATCTGTTTTGTTTAGTGTATTGTGCGTGGGTGGGTCAGAGGGAGTTTGGAGTGTGTGTTTGTTTATGTTTGTTTCAGGCGGTCGGTCGTCTCCTACAGTCTGCCCCTTGAGCTCTGATGGCCTGTTTGTGAGAGTCAGACATAAAATTATCAGACCGCTCTTGTCTGCCTTTGAAGTGTCTTGAGCTGTCCGTCCAGATTTGTCATCTGGGAGGGGGGGCTTGGGTCGCGGGCTTTGCAGTATGCCCGCTGTCTGAGGATCTCGCATCTGCAAGAAAACAAACAAAGCTCTTCTGTGTGCCTTTACCACGTCATTATTTGTTGAGAATTTGCTTGCAAGCATGACGGTCATTCATAGTTGGTTCACACGACTTTGAAATAATTTTTGACAAGCTTTAAAAATATTTGTCAATACATTTGAAGGTATAATCCTGAGGGACAATAAAGCTTTAATAAATTGGGACTTCGCTTGGTGACTGTTTGTCCAACTAGCTCCCGATGTAATGTTTTGAGAATAAAGTCCTATTTTACTTTGTTTTCATATTACTCCAGTAAAAACCTACATATACTCTGTGAATGTCAAAAATGTAATAGCACAGATATGGGTGGTTCTCAGAAAATGTGGTGTTGTAATAATACGTTCAAGCACTGACCCAATTGGAGAGTCAGGATTTTTTGCCCTTGACAATTAATCACCAGCTTTCACTGCTTACTATATTGCAGGACTGCCCTCCTCTGCAAATAAACTGTCAGAATGTCAATGAAACACAATTCAATTTCATTGAGTCTAGAGCTGCCACGATTAATCGCCACGATTAATTATTAGTCACACCGATGTAATAGTCGACGAGTCGTTCATCTAATTGCCGATTTGTTTTTCTAACCACATTTTGATTGTGTACATCAGTCATCAATTTTCTACTTTTACCTGTAAATATGATTTATTTTTATTAAATTATGCATACTAGTGAACAAAGCGTTTTGCATGAAGTTTAAATCAGATAATATTTGAACACCAAAAGAGGTTTTCTTTAGCACAGTGCAGTTTTAAGTGTTTCTTTTTGTATTTTCATAGTATTTGTGCAAGTATGCATAGTGTATAGTTTTTGGTTCCATTTTTAAAATGTGCTCAACAGAAAATGAAGGCCACACAGTATTCCCTCAATTCATAAACATGTCAGGAATGCTGTTGCAACCTGCAAAGTTTAATCCAAATTTGAATGTACTACCATCTTAATTGTCTTTATTAATTTGGATATACCTTAAAGGGGAAGTCAACCCAATATTTTTCATTGCAGTAATTTGTTCTATGCAGCCCCACTAGTCCAAACATGGCATTCTAATTGATATTGCATTTGTGGAATACAAATTAGTAAGCAATTTCACCTATTTTTAGCCAACACCCGGGGCAGCCATTTTGCCACTTGGTGTTGCCTGAAAATGGCATCACATTTGCTCAAGGCTCAAGTAACAATCAGTCAGAGCTCAGCTTCAGAAGACACGTGAGCGGTGCACGCTGCAGGAAGGTTTGATTTAACGCGTCGATCATTTTTACGTGGTTTTGATCATTTTGGGGCTCTCATGTCACACTCCTGTATCAAACTTTCTGAGAACCATCCACATATAGTACATTTATGTTCACAATGTTTTGGATAAATGTTTGGATGCATTGAGGACAGTATATGCTTAAAAAAAAAAAAAAAAAGAAAGAAAAATTGGCTAATTGCCCGTACTATACTGTACACACATATATTTTATTATAATAGCACATTGATTGAGGTCTTGTAAGGGGAGAAACACAATGACCTAGATATTTTCCGTCCTACTGCTGCTTCAGCTAATATGATTCAACAGTCTTGCACTCCCCCTGGTTGAAAGCAAATAAGCTGGAGGCCTTCCCCACTTAACCAAACCTTTGTCACTATAAGCAAAGAGGGGGGGGAAAAAGTCCAAAATCATCCACTGACTATCCAGAATGACTGATGCACCTAGAAGATATGACTCCCCCCCGCCCCCCGTTTCTCCAATATCCCAAACCGCTACCCCCACCCTTTGCCCCCACCCCCACCCCACTCGCTTCTACTGCCTAATGACTCCTGGAGGTTCCATTTGTAAGGCTCCCATAGAAACACAGCCACAATAGGCCCCATCTTGAGAGGGCCCATCTGGGAGTCTTTGTGGGGCCTGCCGAAAGCCACAAAGGCCTGCTGACCTAGAAAGCCATCAAAAAGAGAACAGGGAGCCCCACCGACAACAAATTGAAGAGCCATGGAATTTCCTGGGCCATCCTTAGTCCGTAGGTGAGGACATAGACTGGGAACATGGGAGGTGGAATTCCCCGGATGCTGGAGGATGACACGTCAGGATGTCACTCCCAAGATGTCGGCTGTGCGCCCGTTACCTTTAACTGTCACTGCCGCCTTTGCCCCCCTGCCCACTAGTTGTCATTGTTTGGAGAACCCTAGGAAATCTTTACGAAATTCTGATTGTGACAGGAAGCAGCTGTGGCATGCTGGGCAGAGTTGTGTCCTGCTTGGGGGGTGTCACGGTGGATGATGCTTTTTTTGTTTAGTGTTTTTTTTTTTTCGGTTTGGTCTGGTATGGACTGGTGGCCACTTTGTGCTTAATAAGCAAATGTACCTCTGGGACTCATTTGGTAGACCAAATGATTGCTCTGTCACTCATGCTCTGACTCCAAAGGACTTCTTAAATCCATTCATGACTTCCATTGTATACGATGATACTCAATTGGTGTATCCAAATACAGTATGTATATGTGTACAGGTGTGTGTGTGTGTGTGTGTGTGTGTGTGTGTGTGTGTGTGTGTGTGTGTGTGTATATATATATATATATATATATATATATATATATATATAAAATAGTCATTAGAGTTACTGTAGTAATAATTATTATAGTTATTTTTAATTTTGTTTTGATGTTTGTTTTTTATTCAGTTTTAAAGCAGGTTTGCTAATTTTTTTGTTTCGTTTTTAAATGCTTAGTTTTTCTTTAATTTTTATTTATTTGGACATAGTACATTTACTGTACATTTTCCAATGTAAATGTTTGCTAATATCTTCTAATAAACAAGATGTCTAAACGATTAATTGATTTTAACAATAATTATTGATTAGCTTGATTTGTTGTAGTTTAATTGTTGCAGCTACAATGGGGGCTTGACCGATGTGAATGTCTATCACCATAACATACAACTAATGGGAAGTTCATTCAATGGAGCATCTAAACTTTTTGGGGGTGCAATATGGATGTTTCAAAGGCCCCTGATAGTGATATTGACTCTTCTATTGAACAAGGGTCCATGGAGCTTTCAGAAATGCCTCTCAAGTTGTCCTGTATAGGCCACGGAAGCTGGGTCATCCAAAAGGTGCAACCCCCACGACGCACTTTTCTTCAAATGAGATTCATGAGACTTAGATGTCAGGAACCATTACCAGGTGCCACGCTTCTCCTGCCTCCTGCTTGCTTTTCACCTACGTGCCAGCTAGCGTATCTATGGAAAAGGTCAGGTGAATACTGTGAAGTTTGTTCGACTGAGTCCTTACCAAAAACCTTGACAAGAGTGGTGAAAATAAAGATGCACACAATGATCGTCACATCACGCAGTAACACCTACAGCGGGCCAATGTGCCACATCGAGTGCCATCGAAGTTCTTAAGTTAGCCAAATCCTTACAACAATTATTGTCAGACACTGTGATATGGACGTGAAGAGCTGAACTCAAAGATGTGATATGAAGGAATGGTCAGAAGAGATTGACAAGATCCTGTATACGCTATGATCGACTCCTTGTTTAAGTTATATGACATGAAGGTGAGACGTGGGAATCGTTTCTCGAGGGTCTGTAGTTGTTACCTTCATTTTTCGCTTTCAGTTTTTTGTCTTCCAGTGCATACCTGAGTGTACCGGATAGTTTATACTTTCTGTGTGTCACTGTAATGGGATATGATATTTGTTTGTTTTTTTTGCCCCCCTCCATCGGAAATAAACTAAACAAGCATACTTCTGAAATGTTGCCAACCCTTGTTTCTTTTCACTAGAGGAGGACCGTTATGATAGCTACACCCGTATGATCTTAAAATACTTCCTGGCAGAAGGAGTGGTGTGTCAACATGAACTCTTCATAGCAGCGGCTCAAGATCACCCGAATGACATCTTCCAGGTAAATGTTAGGAGTCGTGTCAGTTTCTGTTTTGGCTAGAAAGTTTATGTAAGCAAAAGAAATTGTAAAGTTGAAATGGCCTCAAATATGCTTTACACTGCATGGTATTACGTTCATTGCAAAAAGCTTTTGCCAAACGGTTCTATTCTATATCTATCTGTATTAAAACGAGCCAACGTAATATTCATTTACACATAGCTTTAGAGGCAATCCATCAGCTGTCAGTGTACAGTTTAAGCGATAATGAAGGAACACAGTCCTCAAAATGTGTCCAGGTCAGCGGGGGTATCTCAAAAGGTCGCGGGTGGCGCGGTTGTGGCATTGTTTAATTGTTTCCCGATGCATCGCTGTGTGAAGAGGGCTGCAGCCCCAGAAGCTAACTGCCACACAAAATACGGGAGGTGGGCCTCTCCCGCGCTGATTGATAGTGGGAGGGGTCACAGCCTCACCCTCACTTTACATATCAAAGGTTTATTAAGACAGGGGCACCCTCAATGGGGATATATCACATTATTTAGTGTTTTCATTGCTTTGCCAATCCTGAGTGCTTAGGTAGACATTGTTGGTTTGTCTTTACGGGGATACAAAAACATTGTATGAAGAATTTGTGAGAAAGTTGGACACTATCTTGATTCATGCGCACTATATGTATTTCCTTGCTACTGTTAAAAGTAGCAATTTTACAGCAGTGTTATTTTTAAATTAAGTTAATAACAATGAACTGTCACATCAGTGCGGCTTCGTGCATTGAGTTGTCTATGAATGTGTACCAGATTTCACACCCATAAAAATACATACAAATAATTTTTTAAAAACTAGAACATTAAGAGGGTGTGACCTGCTAAATTTAACGACTTGAATATCGGCCGACCCAAGTTTCGTTCAGAAACATCATCTTTTATGAAACCACAGGAACAAATTGTAAAGGGATCCTACATAAGCATATCAAATTACTGCCTGCTCTGGAGAGATTTGACCAAGATGTAAGACCCTGCAGCATGTTAAATGGGATTTGCAGTGTTAAGTTCAAACTGCTGTCAAATGTGCAGTCAATATCAAAAACATTGTGTGATGCTTCAGCACCTAACGAGAACCCATCCATCTAAAATAAAAATGACAGTTGGCCACTCCCCCTGCACATTTGGCAATATAGCATAACGAGTCCTTGCCATGGGCACCGAGGCTCCTCATACAATATGTTGAACTGTATGACTTTTTTTGAGCCATACCAAAATGGAGTGTCAGTCAAGGAAGACACAGGTTGCCCACTTAAAACCCACAAATAGACTTTTCCCCTGTGTGAAAGCTTCCATGCATTTTGATTGACTATATTTTGTGACGTTGCCACAGTGTGCAGTTCCGATTCAAATTTTGAATCGCCTTGGCCACAGGTGGAATCTTGTGGCAGAACCCCACACATTAATAATTGCTGAGTGGAGTTCCACCGCATCACGCATCAGTACGGGGCGACCCTTAGTTTGATAGTGCAACATCTGAGTTTGGGGCTGTATCTGAGTTCTGAACCTGCATATACATTTTTAAAATCAAATAATGAATATTTTTGCACAAACCTAAAAAAACATTATATTATTTGAATTGGATACAAGCACAGAATGGTAATTACACTGTATTAGTGAAAAACTCAACAAATCACGCCTGCATGGATATATTGAAATATGTGATTGCAAAAAAAAAAAAATATATATATATATATACACACACACACACACACACACACACACACACACACACACACACACACATTTCAACATTAACGTGAGCTTCACCAATGTACGCAGGAGCTTCCTGACCCCATTTTAGATGATGTTGTCATGCACAAACCAGCGGACCAGCCGAGGCTGTCTTCTGAGCCTCACGGTAATTTAGATGCCATGAAGATTGCCTGGCGTTATCAGAATCTCCCAAAAGTACAGGTAATCAGGAGGTGTGTGTGTGTGTGTGTGTGTGTGTGTGTGTGTGTGTGTGTGTGTGTGTGTGTGTGTGTGTGTGTGCGTGTGCGTGTGTTTGGGTTAGATGAGTATTGTTAGATTTGATGTTGCTGTGGAATTCTGAAAGCAAAGAGCAGCAGCAACTTTCCGGACACATTTTTGTGTTTATTTATTTATTTATTGCAATTGTCTCCACCATTAAATCCATCAGCATTCTGAACTTCTTTGTGTCGGGAATAAGGCCTCAGCCTCTCTTTTCAGAGCTGGAGCAGATTACTCACACTTAGCTGGCAATAGGTAGGCTTTTCACTGGTCCCCAGCCTTCGTATACACACGCCCGCTCCCCTGCTTAGCCTGGGAAACAAGGGTACTTTGCAGCCTGTGCATTGACATGTCTGCCCGCTCAACCCTACGACCCAGACCTGCGGCTCTGTCTTCTCCCAAATCCCTGCCTTTCCCCCTGCTATGGTCGGCAGCCCTACACTCTTTCTTCCGCTTTGAGTAGAGGTGACGCCCCTCTCTCTTATACTTCTCTCTCTCTCTCTCTCTCTCTCTCTCTCTCTCTCTCTCTCTCTCTCTCTCTCTCTCTCTCTCTCTCTCTCTCTCTCCCTCTCCCTCCCCCCTTTTGGTCTATAATCCATATCGCTATGTGGATTAACAGCACACAGTGTGTCCTTGGGGATCCTCTCCCTCTTTCTCTCTCCCTGGAAACTTCTTTATATCTGTGTCCTTTCGTCACCTCTCCCCCTTCCCCTGTAAAATCGTCTTTACAAACCATTGGTAAGCCCCACCAGAGGATTTGCATCCCAAATTCACCCCCAGAGTCAACGCTTACTTTCCCTTTACACACACCTCTGCTGGCATTGCCCACTGTGTCGCTCTCTCTCGATGAAGACATCAGATCAAAGGTGAGGCTGTCAGGGCGGGGAAGGAACGCTAAGCGGGTTGCCCTGCTCACAAAAAGAAGATGAGCCCCTGAGCCCCCCTCGCCCCGCTGACCTCCTCGTCCCGCTAGGAGAAGGACACACCGGGGGCCCTAATCCAGATTAGGAGTAGATTAAGGGTGCCTCTAACAATGGAGTCCCTGGTTTCACGGAGAGAGAGGAGCTCAAACTCTCTCTTTTCAGCTGCAGGAAAACATCCGCCTTCCCCTGCGTCCCTGACACGTTTTCTTTCACAGCCAGAAGTGGACATTTATGTGAAGAAATGATTACGAGCGTGTTGGTAGTGGTTATTTAACTTCTCTGTTGCGGGAATGTTAAGGAATGACCCATAAACAATGCGATTGCATTCCCATGGTGTTGTGGAGCACCCTCATTTGAACAAATTAGAGAAACAAATAGAACTTGTTTGTCTTTTAATCCGGTTTCTCATTTGAAAACAGTTAAAAATCCATTGTTGCAAAACAGTTGAAAGCAGGCAGTTGTGGTTGACAGTTTGGATTTGGAATTTGTGTACAATACATCACAATGATACAAAGGATGTGTGTCTTCTGTTGGTAGTGTCCGATGCAGGGGATACGATCGACATTTTTTTGTTATTTTAGAGCATCTTCTGGTTTTGTGTGTTTCTAACAGTACAATTGGGCCCCCTCTTCATTTTGGACACATTTATGATGCTTTCTTACAAAGATTTAGCAATCATCAATGAAACGCGAATTACCCAACAACACTAAGTTTGTGTTCTCACTTTTTGTGTATTTGAATGCGTGGGAAACGTATTAATATGGACACAGGAGTCATCTACGACCGTGCATTTTTACATTTTCCTCTAACACATACTTAACTCCAAACTGTCTACCAAGTTCTTTTGTCTCAACATGCGTGTGATTTATTTATTTTTTTTCCCTCTCTCAGAGTGGTCTAGCATCATCGTCTCGGTTCGGCCACTACTATGACGTTTCCAAGACAATGGAGCCAGAAATCCGCCAGGCAGCCAAGTGCCACCACTTCTACCTTCCAGAACATCCCAGGCAGTCATCAGCCACACGCAGGCAAAACAACTCGACATCTTCCGCAGAACACTAGCAAAACAATGCGACACCATCCTGAGAACACATGCAAAATACAGTACGCGCGGCGGCGGCGGCGACAAAATGCATTTATACAACAAAGACATTGCTTTAGAGTACGAGTGAGCAAGCGTGGCATTGTTTGCACAATGTAAACAAACCAGGTATGTCAGCAGACCAAAGGAATAAAGCCTTTAACTAGGCTGCCAAAAAGAAAACATTTTGTTTAGAAGAGTTTAATTTGGGTACAGTGAAGGCCCTTTTATGGCAGGGGGTACATTCCAGACCCAACCACAATAGGTGAAAAATCTGACAGACCAATTAAAAACAAAAAAAAAAGTTTTGTAGTTTTAGACCTCCCAAATGCTAAAAATATTTAAAACACACTTTTTAAACACATTTTATTTGAACACACACTGAAAACATTTTATGCACAAACTACATGGAAAATACTGTACATATTGTCGTGTGTCTATTGTGTAACACGACTTATTGGTTCTGTGTTCTTTCTCCGGTTTTCCTTCCTGAATTGTGAGTCCACAACACTGAATATATGATGCAAACCCATGACAAAAAAAAAACATTGCTTAAAAGGCAGCAATGTAAAGCTGAGGTGCAGACAATGACTGGGGTCAGCGTTAAAGTCCCACTGCACACAAACGAAATGTTTTTCAACAGATGCTAGTCTGCTACCTGACTACCGCCAAGGTGCACCCCTACATCTCAAGAGGCGCAGCACTGTTTGCGTGACCCTTTCTCACAGTCGTCTTCTCTTGCAGACTGACGTGTCTTTTGTGGTTCACTATATGGTGTCCAAAACAAATTCTGAATACGGCAGTTGTGTTGCGGGAATATAATGACCATAACAATTTAAAAAAATAATAATAATAATATATACAAATTGAAGCACTTTGATTGGGCTTTTTGCCTGGATTGGCAATAATAAAGCATAATAAGTGTGCGTACTAATTCAGTGAGGATTATTGCCATTTTAGCAGCTGATACAGATGAATAAAAATCTGGCCTAAGTAGCTTTGCCACGGGCCTAAAAGGTTCAGCCTGTCGGAAAAGTTGTGTATGCCTATTCAAATAAGGGTCATGTTTGCTCAGTGACTGTTTGATTTCGACCGTGTTGAGTGTACTTAGGGTTCAGAGGTCACGCAGACTCTTTACTCAGAGAGTGCTGCTGAGCACACAAGGGCACACGAAGAGGCACACTCACTCACTGGGTAAATACAGCAATCTGGAGCACAGAGAATGAGGAGGAGGCTTTATCGAGTCTCTCTTTATTTCAGCAAACACTGTGAAACACAGAACCAGTGCAAATACATTAAAAGTTGTGGATACGCATTTGCTCCGGGCCGCCAAAGTGCACCACATAGATTAACGTAAATATTACCCGTAAAAGTAGAAATAAATGTCTTTTCGTTATTACATTTCAATGCGGTTGTCTTTGGGGGCATCTCTGTGGGTTTGATCATCAAGACATTTAAACAGCGGGAAACTACACCTGCACCAGCACCATTGTGCCCACAGCCCCGCCCCGTCACTGCTGCACATACATAGACACACACGGTACATGAACACACACGTGCCAGACTAACTCTAAGCAGGCTTCTCCCCCTTGCACGTGTCCACAGCCCCATGCCGCTACCCTAGCTGTTAAATTGCTCCGTTTCACTTGAAGGCATAATTGGCACAAATTGCTCTCTAGGTGATACAGATCCTGTTGTTTAAAACTGAACATCCCCACCCCCCCTCGTCTCCCTCCTTCATTCCCCTCAAAGAAAGAGGAACATCGAGATAAAGAAGCTTCCCCGTGTATGATCCTAATTAGCCGACACGCTAGCCCCTGTAGCTAAGCACCTAGACCTGATTGGTACCTGAATGAAGGGTGCTCAGTAGGGGCAGCTGACATACAATGACGTCCGACACAATGGCTGCCAAGCAAAGACAACCTTTCACTCAAGTGCTTGTCAAGCCATCCCCCTGCCTCGCCCCCTCTCCAAGCCCCTTCCTCAGAGCAGGGGCATGGGCAAAGAGGCCTGTAAGGGTAGGTGTCCCTCCTTTTTTCACCACCAGCTCTATCATTAGCCCCAGCGGGGTCAGGAGGCACCATTGTTGTACTGAATAAATGAAATGGAGTACATGGATATACTTGGCACAAGTGTAATCGACACAAGTGTGTATTGCTTTTCCTAATGCGGGGCTATTGATGCGCGTGGGATATATGTGTATCAGCTCTTCGCAGCCTGCGGGTCAAATTGATAAGTGACACTGCAGCCCACTGTGACTCAGTGCAGACTGGTCATTAAAATGGCAGGACGTTCTTAAGTGGAGGGTCCTGTGTAAAAAGACGGGGTTAACATTCCTATTCGCCTCCCAATAGGCAATAAGTGAGCCGAGTCCTCGGTCCCACAGTGGTGTGTGCTTTGTCAGAGGTGCAGATGTTACCCTTGATTAAACACCAAACTGCTGTCCAATCTTAGTATTAGATATCAGCATAAGCACGTTTCATACGTCTGTCTTGTCTGTGTGTCTAGGCACGATCAAAACCTCGGGGGAGCTGACAAGAGAACCAGTCGTGTTGTAATTTAATCAAGCAAATAAATTAATTGGATCTCTTGATAGTGGCTCCAGAAAAGCATAGTCAGGAGGAGCATATTGCAGTCATAGCGGATTAATCCACCACGCTGATAGACTCGGCCCACTTTTATCAAAATTGTCATTTTAGAAGAGCGTTGCTGTCCAAATTTTAATTTTTGCCGTCGCTTCTCTGCTTTTCTTTCTATGTCCACTTTCTGCTGTATATTTCCAGCCCTGTGCTTGATTCCTACGCTGCATTGCTGAAATCCATTGAAGAAGTCATAAGGAGGGAGGGCTTCAGTGTGGCAGCACCTCTGGTAAGAGGCAGGAAAGAAAGGTCACTTTCCATGATGGCACGACACATCGATATTCAGTGCGTTTGATGATTGGAAATCCACATTGTGCAAACAGACTTAAAAAAATAATAATTCATGGTATTCCAATAAGATTAATTGTGTGTATTATTGCAAAAAGATTAAAATTTTCTTTTGATACTATGTACTGATAATAAATCACCCTTATTTTTTCAGACTTAAAATTGAATGATCGATGCTTTTTTTTCAAATATTTTTTTTAACTTCAAAGCCCTTTTTCTTAAACTCAGTTTGGCTATTTATCTCAACTACAAAATAATCTTGATCCACTGACAAAAGATCCATAATTACATTTGTGGTATTATCTTTTTCAATTTTGGCCACATGGGTGATGGGCTGCAAGTGTACATTTCCCCTTGCATTCATTGAATTGTTCTGTTGATAAAGGAAAAGTCTTTCCAGACATGCGAGTAAAAATGATTTTGATTGCTCACCTCAGTTTTTCTTGATAGCTGCTTTTCATCAAGTGTATCCGTCTCCACCTATCTCACTGCGCAAAGGTGGCGTGAGTAAATTCTTTAACAAGGAGGTAGAATCTTCAATCATGATTTTGAGGCCCTTTACAAAAAAAGGGAATGAGGGAAGCAACAGGACTGTGAGCCTGGCTGGTATTATTTTACAGTTATAGGCTGGTTTTCGTCGAGATGATCGGTGGCCTCATGTCCTTGGCTGGACTTTACTGGCACGGTTCCCCCAATGTTTCTATAGGCTAAACTATAGGAGTTAAGCTTGGGCTGTCTTTCTGATGTTGCCATAGCAACATCCATGTTACCAAAGATCCCCCCTGTTGCGCTCAAGTCATCAAATTAGAGACTCATTTGATGCCCTGAGTTTGCCTGGTAACAAAGGGAGGGCACATCTCATGATGGCAAGTACCCACGTACACAAATAAAGCTCATGGTAAGACATAGGAAGTTTCTTGTTTGTTGTAATTTTCCAGTGTTGCTCTGCAAGGAAACTTTGGGCCAATTGTGCAAAAAAAATTCAAACAATAAGGTTTATTTTTCTTAGATTCCTGTGATAGTTCTCTTGACGAATCTGAGGTCATACTGTAAGGAGAGGAAGTGATGGCGAGTGGGTCGGAGGCGATTTTGGGAGTGTCTAGATAATAGAGGAGGAGGGCTGGAGCGGGTGAGGAGAAGCGTCAAAGAAAAAGCGAGCAGATTTAAGCCGAGCTTCGTAAATCAGTCGTGGCTCTCACCTCAATAATCAGGAGACAACTCGTAGAAACCCCAAATAAAAGGCAATTGTACTAAAGGTTAAAACCCTCTCACAGCTTTGGACAAGCTCCTCCATTCTCTCACTTTCGGTGATATATATATCCCACTGCTATTTTTCTTCGTCTTCATAGAAGTGAGATACCGTTGATCCCTTGTTTTGGGGTGGGGTGTTTCAAGGGAAGTCACTCCTGCCTTACCAAGGCCCCCTTGGCTGTCGAGCCCGGCTTTGGTGCCAAGAATGTGCTGGGGTTTCTGGGTGGCGGCCATATTGGAAGCCTGTCTGACAGGTCCATTGTGCGTGTGTCAGATGGCCTCTGTGATTGGGCAGTTGTGTCCACTCACGTTTGGGCACTGTATTGCGATCGTCTGTACTGCTGAGCCGACTGTCCAGACTCATATGGAGTTTGGGAATACAACCCAAAACGCAGCACCTATAATTAAAAACCACAATCTGCTACTCTTCATATATACAATGTGAACTTGGAGTTGAATCAAGATTGTTAGTTTGTTAATCTGATGGTTTGATATTTTCATCATCATTTCTTTCTTATTCTTGAGTAGAATTGAATAAAAATTATAGATTTCTACTCAACTTTGTGGAAGGATAGAGCATGGGCCAACAAAGAAAGTGTTGCAAGTGGTTCAGATTTTTGTCAATGTTAATGATTACAATTCAAGCAAAAAAAGCATCTACAAATTATGTCTTAATATTTGTGTTGTTTCCTTCATTTATGTTTTGCCTTTTTTTTTTTTTTTTAGACAAAGTCACGGAATATCCTGCGTATCGGGCTTCACTCACTGGGCTCACCCCTGTGGGGTGATGACCTGTGTTGCCAGGACAACCCCAAACACAGCCACGCCCTCACTACCTTTCTCTATGGGCTGCGGGCTTTGTTGAGGTCATCCCTGTCAGTTGCAGTAGTTACTGTGCCTTCACATCTTATCCAGGTAAGACTTCTGAATAACTCGCCATGGTATAAAAATATGAACTGAAAATATTTCATCATATATATGTACACACACACACACACACACACACATATCCATTTTCTAATCCGCTTATCCTCACAAGGGTCGCGGGCGTGTTGAAGCCCGTCCCAGCTGTCTTTGGGCAGTCGGGGGAGACACCCTGAACTGGTTGCCAGCCAATCGCAGGGCACAAATAGATGAACAACCATTCGCGCTTACACTCACACGAGGGACAATTTAGAGTGTTACATTAAACCTCCATGCATGTTTTTGGAATGTGGGAGGAAACCGGAGTGCGCAGAAGAAACCCGCAGGCACGGGAAGAACACGCAAATTCCACACAGGAAGGCCAAAGCCGGAATCAAACCCTGCACCTCTGCACCGTGAGGCAGAGAGAGAGAGAGAGAGAGAGAGAGAAATTTCTTTTTCATTCATTCCCCTCCTGAATGATAAGCGGCTCGGATGATGGATGGATGGATAAATTTCACCTGAAGTATCCATTGTGGACTGCTAGCTTGTGTGCAGGTGGGTTGCAATCAGGGCAAAAAGTTTGAAATCTTGTGTAAGGGGTGTCCACTCGATTCAAAGGTTCATTGTTACTGTGACTCGACTCACGCCTCCCAAAAGCTTCTTCCTCTCATATCATTCTTCAAGTCGTTTTCCAATGAACACTCCATGCAAAGCCTTCTGAATTCACGTGTGCTTGCTTTTAATTACATCAAGCGCCGTATTTTAAATTGAAAGTGTGTGCATGTGTTTTATTGTCTTATTAATATCCCAGCGGGTAGTTGTGTCTCAGAGTGTACATGTGTGTTTTAGAAGGGGGATGCGGGGAGTGTGCTTTACATGAGTCTGTGTCCAGTCTGGCCTCTCAGTGTGAAGGTAGAGTCATCTGCTGAGGCATATGGCAAAGCACAGACCTCCCCCGGATAGTAGACCAAAGAGGCAGAGTCACCAGAGGAGCCAATTGAGGCTTTCTGCCATTAACATCTTGTAACTTGAAGCGCATTCTTGAGCTCTTGCACCGTTCTTCTGTAGCGCAACCATATTAATGTCCATATTAGTTCTCAAATTTGCAAGGAAAAGATCAGCGGAGATGCATAACTTTGAGAACAGCTGTGTTGTCACAACATGCTCTGGCTCCACGCCTATGTACTCAGTGCTCTACGGCTTTGGCTTCGTCAAAAAAGGTATACTGGCTAACTAGCAGATGTCAGCTGTGGTGGGAGCGGTCCCCCACGCCTCCATCCGGCCTGGCCCCCAAGCCCTCTTAATCTATGTCCTCCTCCTCATCCACCCTGGACATAGAAGAGGAGGAGGGACATTTTGGGTTGAATCAGGTGTTGGGTGACCAGGCCAACACTGAGTGCAACTTTTGAATTTTCTTAATAATCACGATGTCATGGTCCTGCCCTGTTTGTTTTTCAGTGTCTAGCAAGAGTGGAGGGCGTTCATTTACAAGCCGTACCTAACACTAATCAGGCCTCATTACTAGTTGCCTATAATTTTTTTTTTTTGGGGGGGGATTAGATTATTAAGCCTTGCTCATGACTCTGTTTCCAAGTGCTTCAATTTTCTAGACCATCGGTATCAAACTCTGGTCCTGGGGGGGGCCGCCGTCCTGCATGTTTTCCATCTCTCTCTCTCTGTTGCAACTCACCTGATTGAAATAATCAGCTCATCAGCAAGCTCTTCAGAAGCCTAATATCGAGCCTGTTCATTTGAAGCTAAAACACAGCTAAGACTGTCTTGACTGATAGCGGTGGGCTAACTGGCCAACACCGCGATAGTCCCACTATTCATTATTGAGCAGTTCGGAAAGCTGAGCCGCTCACTGAAAGCCTTCTCCGAGCAGCCCGGTGCCTCAGTCCATCTGAAACATTAATTAGGCTTTTCCTAGTGGTACTTCATTCTACTATTGCTTGCTACCACACCCATCCTTACAGAAAAAACACATTTTGCCCCCTTAAAATTTGTTCACCTGCTTGTCAGACTAAGTGGTTTTCTGACCCATGCATAGACACTCACTTGCCAATTTATGAGGTACACCCAGATAAATTACTGTATCTCTATTAAAATTCAACTTGAGGGAAGAGTTGAAAAAATGTGTTGGTCATCTCAATAGCTTTAATTGTTTTTGCTGTTGACTGCTACTGCCAGCTTATGTTTTTCAATATGAATCAGTATGACATAACATTAAGAACATAATATTAAGGGATGTATTATCTAATCTTACTTTCTATACATTTTCCCGACCTAAAGTCAGTCAGGTTTTTGACTGCTAAATCAATAAATAAATAATTACCATATAGCCATTTTTAGTATCCATTTAAGATGTGACTAACTTGCTATTTATGGGATGTAACGAATGATGACATTTACTTAGTTTTGGTAAAACAGCTTCAGTTTCAATTTAGCTGTCACAGGTTGGAATGTCAAAATGTCTTACCATTACTATTATTCATCAAATACATTTTTTACAAACTACATCCCCCCGGCCCCAAGACTAAAATAATCCATGAAATGAAGGCAAACTGTACATGTTCTATTACAGTTGTGTTAATTGTGGGAAGAAAAAGCATGTACAAAAGGGAACTTTGATAACTGTGCACTGTACTTATTTAAACATCAAATATGACCTTATTAAAAAGAATTTAAGTCCAATGCTTTTGTTTATATTTCTCTTCTTGGTGTGACGGCTTATGAAATAGAAATGTACATCTTCAGATATTGCCCACCAAAACCTCTTTTGCTACAACAATGTAGTCCGGTCCTTTTGAACTTTCCCTTGAGTCAGGTCCAAGACATTTTGAGTCATTCCTAAGACGTCTCATCTGTGTCAGTAAGAAGCGAAATCACTCTGGCCAGAGCGGCATGTAATGAGCTACATTTGCCCTGTTACAATTACTTTAGTAACGTTTTAGATAAATGATATTTTTCAGACTAGTTTAAAGGCAACGTACATCTTACTTCTACGTATGTGTGTTCAGAAGGAACACTACTTACATATTGAGCTACATTTCGCTCACTTTTTTCTACATGTGCTTATTGTTGCTTGTGTGATGTCTTTTGGGTTGTCAGAGGTCACATGACCGAGTGGCATTTGGTTCCATCAGATCTATTAAACAGCCAGTTAGTCACATGAGTACACGCAGTTTCCGCATAAACGTAATTCCACACAGCTTTTCAACGTGACTAATTTACGTGAAGCGTGGCAGAAAAAAAAAGGAGCAAACATCAGTGTGTGACTCGCTGCCAGAAGAGACAGCACCCGTTGCCTCAAATTCAGTCTCCGTTCACCTTGCACACTGTGAAAAAGAACCATGATGTCAAGTCCTGAGCTGCCTTGTTGCAGTTTTTCTGCGTAATTGTAACGTGGTGAGGTAACAATTACCTGAAAGGTACAGTGTGTAGAATTTAGTGCCATCGAGTGATGGATAGAATGCAATGACCTAAGCTCGAAACGCGTGCATTCATGAAGCATGTGCACTACGGTGCCCCAGAGGGACCACACTTCGCAATCCTACCACCAATTTCTTCAGCAAAGGTGCAAGCAAAATGTCATCCCAAACCATTTCTAGTTTTCCCTCAAGATACGAATTAGGTGCACTGCAGTTGTTACACATGTTGTAGGCATCATGTTGAGAAACTACATTCGCAAAGTTTGTCTCCTTTGAGTATCCGTAGGAGAAAGATGGCGGCGAAACATGGCAGCCTCTTGTGGCGGAGGTTAGGTGTGCCCATTGTAATATAATTAGCGATTACTTCACCTACAATTACATTTAAAAATTATGTTGATGTTAAGGATTGCCTTAATTTGTTAATTTTATATACGATTTGGTTCTATCGTTGTAAATAAAGTGGTAGCGTTGGGCAATTTCTGAAGTTGTGTTTTTGTACGTTCATGCTGATTTGGGGAAAAAAAAACAGAATCTGGAGTTATTTACCTGTTACTCTGTAATTGGGTATTTTTTTCCACTGAGTACTTGAGAAATTCTTTGGTGGACTACTTTTCACTTAAGTGATATGATTGTAAAGTAACAGTGCTATTACTTGAGTGCATTTTGGGCTTCCTCTGTGTGTAGCCTTCATAGACCAAGTTTTAGTCCATCATTATTGACCACAGTTAGTTAATAATTTGTCATATCCAAACTTACACGGTCTTTTAATTGCATGCGTGCAAGTGACCTCAGATACCCCGTAAGTGCTAGCAGTCTTGGCTGGTGGGATGTGCATTCTTTAAAAGTAGGACAAAAATGAAAAGGCTGAAGAAAGAGTTGGGGGGGGGGGGGAGACATGAAGGCATGAAAACTGCATTAGGCTGTGGCAGCCAACACACAGGGAAGGATTTGAATGATTCAGGAGGCAAAGGGATTAATAATGCAGGACTCCCTCTCTCCCTCCATCCCAATGTCCCTCGCTCTCCTCTCCTCCACTCCTGTTATTCTCTGCCTCCACCCTTTTCATGTCATTCACGTTCACATTTCTCCCTACCTACTGTATTCACCCCGCGTTGTTTCCTTCTTTCTCTCTCACTCATTCTTTCACTCTGTCTGGCTCACCTCTCTCATGCTCCTCAAGTCCCTGACCCGACCAGTAGGGGGAACTCTTCTCATCAAGCTTCTAATGATTGCTTCCACTTCGCCTCTGTCCTCTCCTGCTGCGAGCAGGTTTGGGGTTACCAACTGAAGTTAAATCATTCTGGAATTTTGCTCATTGAGTTTTCTATCCCTCCGTGTGTCACTGTGTGTTCTCAGCGTACATGTGTTTGTCTGCCCCGGCCTCATCTGTTCGACCCTCCTTCCCACATCACCCTCACCTCCTGAGCCCAAGGCTGGAGTGACCTGACCACTGGAATGATGATCTAATTTAATAGTAACACTGGTGGCCCGTCAGGAAGATGTTAATTACCTGCCCGTGTTTCTTTTCCCATCCTACAGAGCAGATCTCTAAGGGGAAGCATAACCAGGCTGTGTGACAATGCCATAGCCTTGGAATCATTCAAAGGCTCTGAGAGGGAGACCGGCCCACTCTGCAAAGATTACCATGGTAAGAACACACACTCCCTCTTATCTCTCAGTCTCGGTTCCATCAAATAGACACATACACACATGCGCTCCGGCAGTGCATTAAGGCTCTGGCTGGGCTGTGGATAGAGGCAGGGCAGCCCCCTTGCAGGCCAGGCTGTCAGCGCGTGTTAGTGTGCTGCTGCTCAATCAGACGTGCTCCTCAGTAGACAGGCCGGGGGGGATTCAGCTGCCATGCTGTACCCCCTCCTCCTCGCACCATCACCCCCCCCCCCTCCATCCCTGCCTTCCCTCCCTCCCGCTAGCAGAGCCTCTCTCTCCTCTCTCACCCCCCTCACCATCCGCAGTCCCATACCCCCGAGGCTCTGGAGCAGAGCTGGCCAACACTGGGGAATCGATATTCTCACCATCACTCTCTTTTCCTCTCTGCCTCTATCTCTCTATCCCTCACTCAATGTCTCTGTGGCCAGCATGCCCTGCTAATAATAAATGGGGGCAAGTCTTCCTCGCCTCCAGTAGGGGAGGAGGACATCGGTAATGGACGACCGAGAGACTGGAAGGAAGAAAAGGGGACGGGGCCAGAGTTTGCAATCCCGGACCCTCCCATCACTTTGGCACTGAGGTTTCACCATCTCTTCGCTTTCCTGCGCGCATCTCCTCTTTTCTATCACTCTATCTCACTTTCCACGCATAAAGGTCAGAATAAGCGGCTGGGGTATTTTTAGCTATGCCTCTCCAGCTCTCCCGCTCACCCTTTGCACTTTTCCTCTCATTCCCCCACTCTCTCCACTTCCCTTGCCTGGAGTTAGACAGCCCCGATTGAGACAGATGAAAAGACACAAAGCAAAAACATTCAATAGCAGATTTTGGTTTCATACACCAACATGTTTTATTTAGTCAACACCTTTTAACGTGATAACATCCCTTCACTGTGAAACGGCACATGATGTGAATTTAACAGATGTGTTGTACCACATCACTGCAGCACATATTTGCATTTATCCTTTTTATTAGAATAAGCACCTCATATTGTTTTGGAAGACAGTGAATGTTATCTGATTAGCCAGCCAGACTAATTTAGCTTATTATGAAATATGTACATCAACGTGTGCGATTGTTTTGAAGTGTGATCATGGGTGCAGACTCATTTGGTGTGAGTGCAAGATGACGGCGAGTGTGCGTGCGTGAGTGTGCGCGTGTTTGCGGCAGCAGTTCAGGGCAGCTCAAAGCATGCTGGGAAGCCTGTCACCGCAAATCAGGCAAGGGGAGCTCACCCAAGTGCACAGAGGAGAGAGCTCACCATCCCCCACTTTCTCTGTTTGTGTTCCTTTCTCCATTACTCCCTTGATCCCTCGACTTCTCTCCCACGCTCATTTACACCCAACCCACTTGTACAGTACTTTTCCAGTTGTGTCAAAAGGTAACTTTGCCGCCAAGGAACAGACGAATGACAAGCACAGCTTCCCCTGACTTAGACGTGCCCGTCATATACGCGTTATCTACCTTTCCCATCACGCACCAGGTCAAATTCCCCACTATGCTGCGCTTGTCTTCCACAAAGTGAAAGAAAGAGCTGCCAAGTGTTGGTACACAGTTGTAAAAAGTTATTTGAACTTGTGGCATGGATTTTTTTCTTACTCATAATGGCAACCTACATTTGAGATTATTACAAAATCCAAAGCAGACACAAGAGTATGAAAATTTGGGATTCAGCAGGAGGATTCTTGAAAAATATGAGTGAAAGTATGCCTGTCCATCAATAGGGGGAGACGTGCTCCTTCAAGTACTCATGAAAGTTTGGGGGTACAGTGGAACTTGTAAAGGTGGAGCACCTGTTATTCTTGATTGTTAGTTGCCCTTTTTCCCAATACTCGCAGACAATGCTCAGAATCAGAATTATCTTGATTGGCAGAATATGTTTGACATAAAAGAAATTAATTGCTGGTAGTTGTAGTCACGATTGTGCTATTGCACAAAATGAAAAAGGAGGCAAATCAAAATCCTTATCCCCTTGTTTTTTGATACTGCATGTCACCCCCCGCCCCAAAAAGAGTCATTTCTACATCCGTTTTGTGTCATATCAGAGGCCTATTTTCCCCAAAGAATGTTAAAGCTAATTCCAAATTTTAAGACCTCAGTGGCGTTTGACTTTCGAGGTTCCATGTAGGCTATTTGATGTCTTTGCTTGTCGATTCAACACAGATACCATCAATCATTGTTGAATCTCTCACAGGCTTGCTCCACGTACGCCAGGTGCCTCACCTTAACTGTCTCACAAGTCAACTGCCTGACCATAAGGACTTGGCCTTTAAACTCAAGAGGAAACAGTTCAGCATTGAGGTATGTTTTCAAGGCCACTACATGCTGCTCTATCCCACACATTATAATAGAGCTCGTGCAACCGTAAACACCAGCAGACAGTCACTCTTTTTGTTTAGTTGGCTTTAGCAATTCAACCATGATTTGCCACCCTAAGTTTGCTATTTTCTCTGTAGAATACAATGCCTTATCTCCCCTTTTATAAGACTCACTGATGCATACTAATACGGTGTTTCCCAGCTATTTTGCAGTTCATTGTTTGTGGCCCGCTATTTCGCAGATTTGTTTTAAGCTATCGTTTTTACAGATTTTACATACTGTATTGGCCTCGCATGTGGGAAAGGAGAGCAACAGTCACCGTTGCACTTTTTAGCCACTTACTGAATGCTGTGAGAACAGCAAAACATACTTTACAATGCACACTCACGCTCTGTCAGGCACAACTCACGGCCAAACATTCCCTCGTAGACTCACCGGCGTCATCAAATATCCAGGCCGCGCCTCTTTAAGGCATACACACAGACACTACAATACATGTAGCATTGTCTCTTAAATAGTTAAAAAAAAATTTTTTTTGGGGGGGGTCAAATATGTTTAAAATGTGCTTTTGATATTACTTATTTGGTCTTTGTGTATGGTGGATTTTTCACCTGGAATGTATCACCCAAGATAAACGAGTTCATAGTAGTACAAGAATCATCATAGGTCAGCTTTATTTGCACTGGTTTGTTAAATATCTGAGTATAGTGTATATTAAATAGGTGCAAATGGCTTGTGGTGTTTACATCTTAAGAGTGACCTCATCATTCTCGTCTTATGGTTTCCAATAAAAACAGCTTGTGCTCTTGATCTCACTTACATTGAACTGATCCCAAGTTTGTTTTTTTTAAACAGAAACAGAACTAGCTTCCTGTAAACTCAACGTAAAAAGAAAAATTCATGCAGCCTTCTTTTGAGACTGTTTTAGAATTTGCCACTTTACTCTCTCTCCACTGTGTTAGGTATGTGTTGATAGAAAATTATGATAAAATGGAATTTTACATAGTGATAATGATCTTGATTTGATTTCATTAGATCCTTATTTAGCGCCCACTAAACAAAAGTTAGTTAGTTGCGGTTGTCGTGATTGAATTTCACAACAGTGGTTACACCCTGCTTTATTATCAATCGAATGTTGTTTCACCTCTGGCATTTATTTATTTTAATATGTTTCACTGGTTTCTCTATGTCTTTTCCTAACTTGGTATTTGTTAACTTAAAACACTTTTTATATGTTTACTTGAATCTTTTTATTTATTTATTGAATTAAGAAAGCCATATTGATACGTATTCTTCGGGAACAGAACTGAACTGCAGATGATGAGGAGTCTCTCAAATTAGCCAAGCTCTGCTGACCAGTCTTTTGTCTGCTATTGGGTGACAAAATGAAGGTGAAGCTATCGATTGCACACAGTTGCAGCCATTCCTAGCCTGAGATGACACCAAAAGAGTGTGAAAAATTTCCTTCTGTATGGATTCAAAATGACTCTGCACAATAACAATGGTGGCAGTTTGAGGTGAAACCAAAAACATGTTGTTAATAATTTTAGCTCAATGTGTATGTGACTCGTTTTTTTTTTTTTTTCCATTCAACCATTACTCAGCTGGCAATTATTCCGAAAGCAAATGTCAGACGCCAGGGTCTGTAAACAATATGGCAATAGTCTCAGTTGCCTCATGAATGACCTAACATCTTTAAAACGTCATAAAGGTGTAACCTGTGAATTCCAAAGAGGAAAGTCATGTTACTTCATGAAAACAGATGAAAACATCTGAGCACAATATTTTTGTTAGCGTGGCCATTGTGAGGCACGGGAGTATCGTAGATTAGGCTAAAGATTTGATGTCCTTCCATTTCAACATTTCTTTTGATTCATGGTTTCTGATCTTCTTGGTGTCTTTCTCTTCTTGTCAGGGATTCATCCATTTTTCTACTGTCAAATCACTCCACTGAGAGTAATCTGTCACTGAACTACGGTACTTTGGAGGCAAATTAAGAGGCCTTCCTCTTTGCTCGGGCCCATGATTAGTCCTCATTACATTATCATTACCTTATCTCACCCTCTGGTGTGTGAGCCCTTTTGTTTTAAGCAGGAGGTAACGGGGAGGAGAGCAATCCCCCACCCCTCTAAACATTCCCCATCTCCTCACAGTAAACCCTTTTGCATTTTCTGCCAGCATTTACTAGGCACCCTTTCCTTTCTCCAATCTGGAGTGATCCACCCCCTTTTCTGACCATATAAATTGTCCTCTCTAGTTTAGATTTACAATGTCTGTAAAACTCTAGAATGTTATCCTCAATTGCTCTTTCAATCAGGCCTCTCAAATAACCAAAGGAGGCAAGGCCAAGAGCAGGATTGTGCAATTCATTTTTCTAAAGGTGCCACGTGAGAAACTCGAACGGATGTCAAGGGCCGTGCCAAAATGCTAACCTCACGTGTATTCCATATTAATTGTTATTCAGTTATTCAAAGGAGTAAATTGTACTGTTGGAAAATCAAAATGTGAACCAAAATAGTAAAATCACATAAACACTATATGCTATCATTATTTATAAATATCACAAAAACATGTCTGCGGTCTATGCATAGTTTTTTTCTGTTTTTAGACTGTGATGACTCTCAGGGCAGAACACCCTCTTCCCTCCACCGTGGAGGAAATAAAAATGTTGCTAATATGAGGACCACCGTTGTCGCTTTTTAAAAATGTCTGCTAAAGGGGTTGGAAAAGTCGTGACATATCGGAGCAAAGTCACGACATTAGCAACTCTGAAGGCAGAAGTCTTGCTCTTTTTCCATTAACACTGTCAACACACATGTACATACAATGTGATATAAAATTCGCCCTTACTTTGCCCAGGTCTGGCCTAGAGCATCCATTTTCTCCTGTGCTGTGGGTCTAATCAATTCTTTTTTTCAAAGTTGAAATTATATGTTTAGATTAATTTTTTTAATAGGTTGGTGTGGAACACGGCTTCTTCCAGTTGGTCTGTGACATCTTTGTAATGGCTAACAGATCTCTGTAGATTGGATCGCTGTGGATATAAAATCAGCACAGCTTTTGGCCGAAGATGAAGATTCGGTAGTGAATGTTACGCTCTGAGTTTACGGTTGTCGTGAAGCACTGCATGCTCCAAGCGTATTTCCGGATGCACCCGCGATTGGAAAAGGGGGAGTCTGAGCTCTTGCTTTTTTGTAAAATAAATGTTTCCCCCAAAACCCTTTTGACTGTTTCTACTTATACTGCAGAGTGACTTATGCTAAAAATATGGTTTATGTGTCGTAGAAATTAGCAACAGTGTCATTAAAAAAAAAGAAAATATATACATACATA